TTTCTCGTTTCATATGTATCAATCCAATAGTTGAGTCAGCATAACTACCTACATATTTAGTTACCATTGCAGTTCCATGCTTCCCTACAAATATTTCCCAGAAAATTGACAATTTTCGGTCGAGGACAATCCCAGTTTGCCATTACGATGTAATTGAATACTAATATTTAGCTACTCCGGAATCAATAAGTCCCGTAATTCCAGAAGGAGGATCACAAACAAGGCCTGTGTGATTTATTAGGGACGAACATCAGGTAGTTTGGGTTGAATTGGCTGTCGTTTCATGACTCAAGCACCAGTCAACAAATTTTGTTGTAAAAAAACGTCATCGCACTGCCGCAAAGACAGTGACAACAAATATTCACTTTAACACGCAAATCAACCCACTGCTTTTTAGTTGCTGCTCATAATTGACTCAGACAGTTTTGATCGTTCGACTGCTATGTATTCTTAGTTCTGCTTATCCTTCGCGGTAGCCGATGGTTTTCGGCAATGAGAAGGGTCTCTCTCGCACTTTTCCCGTTGTTTGTCAAAGTAGAGAAGCCAATTTATAATACCTACTTTTACCCTTGAATATCAAACCTTGCCCTTCGAATATTTAAAATGCTGCCGAAAGAGTGCGTAGAATAAGAGGATCGATCCTATATGCATCGGTTGCTTTAGGACGATGCTGAGACGAAATGAAGTTAATAAGATCGCCAATGACACTCTATTTTCAATATTTTCTTATAGAAAATTGCCTTTACTAATGTTGGCAAGGATAATAATAGCTTTAATTAGAACTTACTTCCTTGTTTCATGTTTAGTCAAATATAGGGCAACTATTTGAATTTAAGTCATTGCTTCATTTTAAGGTTTTGAAGAGACTCTACGATTTCGTTCTATAATAATTTAGGGGTTTGTATTGACTGAAAAACTCTAGAAGTTTGGCCGCGCAAACATCGCATGTCTAAAGTTTGCCCCACGGACAATATGCTTTTTGTTCGTCCGTTTGACCCGGCTTTATATGTGGTTTGTAGAGAGTTTATCACGATCAAGAGGCTGACACAGAATCATGCCAAGTAGTCCTGGGCAAAATGGCGGAGAAAGTAAAAGCAATGGTAATAAAACTGGCAATAATAGTTATAAATCATCGTTTAATTAAAGAAACCCTCTGACTTACTTATTTCCGATGAACACCCTACACAAAAGCCATATTTCTACGAGATAGAAGTGTAATGACCTCGTCAACTCCTCTCGAAATCAATATCGTCTGATTGGAAATATAATGGGTTACGTTTGATCAGGCACGGCCTTCCTGGAGAAAGCAAAAATATATGTATTCCTAGAATAGGAAACTGATGGCTAACTTCGAGGTTTTTCGTGGAATACAGAGACACATTCTTCGTTTGGTCACGAGTTTCTTAAGAGAAAACGAAACTTGAACCATTGGAATTTGCCCTTGGGCTTCTACCACCGAGCAACAGAGATTATGCAGTGAGCAAGGCCATTAATAGATTCATGCGTGTCACGCGCCTTTCATACTGTTAGTATCATTAGCAAAGTAAAAAAATTCATGTGCGTTTTCACGAAATGAACGTACGGTAAGTATTGAGCCTGGTCATTCGAACAGAGAAAGAAAATGACCCGTTCCTTCATATTTCTTTAAAAAAATATAAACCTCCATATCGCTTTGATTATGATTTCGAAAATATCACTTTAAAACCGCTTTTTTTTAACCCGCAATAAAACAACTATCGTCTTTTACTGTATTTAGTCTCGCCTATAAAGCCGTAATTATCAGATGGTGTGAGAAGTTTGTATGTAATTATTAGTGCTGATTACTTATTCATACTTCCCATCCGATTGAAAACGATTTCAGTTGCCTACCATGAGTAGCATCGATAATTTGGCCTTCCAAAGTAATTGAGCATTTTTACGTCAATTGGAAAAGAGCGTCTGCAATTTTGAATACTCACAAGTACTACCTGACTTCTAGCAATATTTGCGAGGAGTTCGCCTTAACTGAAACATCCAAATTCTCAAAGAGTAAGCACTTTCCAGTGGCAGTAGCGCTCAAAACATAGGGTGGTATGAAGAATGTAAATCAGAAGTAAAAATCAGCAAATATGATCAAAATAAATATTTAAAATGATTTGGAGGGAAATGAATGCAACACTGAGTGCGCAGCCATTCTCCTTTCTCTAATAAGAAGAAAGTTTTCAACCACTGGTGATATATATTCCTGTAGTTCCTGATAGAAAAAACTGCGCCAGGAAGCAACAACAATAACAGCAGCAACACAACCACAGCAGCAAAACAAACAAACAAAACATACAAACAACTAGAATTAAAAGACTCTTGGTCTGATGATGTCGCAGTTCGGTAAAAACGGTAAATATATATCACTGTTTAAGGTAGCACTTTGAATAAGAAAACATCACTTGTTTCATAGTACTTGTTGCTGTGCAATTTTTTCCTCGAAATTCCAATATTTTCTCCTGGAGAGTGTTTTGGGAACCTAGTGAGTCATTATGCTAGCCTTGATGACGACCATGGTTGCCTATTATTGGCAACTCTCATAATTTGGCATAGCGAAATATTTGCGGTTCTATACATTCACAACAATTAAAAGAGCGAGCTTACTTCAGGACATTGAATTATGCTTCCTTTGTTTTATAGCTTCAACATCTTTCTTAGGAGTCTAGAGGATCATGCCAACATAAATATAAATTCAAATTTTCATCAAACGTTGAAGGCTTTTGTGTAATTGCATATTTGCACTAAGGCAAGTAGGCATATGTAACCCTCAAATATATACTTTATAACGTCTAGAAAAGAAGTAAAAACTTACTAGTATAGATGCCTTCTTTGACGGCCATGGTCGATGCTTTTTCCCCAGACTTGTCCAACTTGCGTGTATTAAACAGGCAGCTTCTGGGATCATCAAAGCCAGAACGAGCATCAAAAACAGTGCCTGTTTGTTTATTTCGGAAGAATATTCCACTGCCAAGGTGGAATTCGCTGTAGATTCACTGGACCTTTTCAAATGCTGCCCGAGAACCAACAAACAAATCTTGCTGGTAACAAGACACGCCAAGACGGCCGAAAATACTATAACTGCCACTAGCCATTTTATGGCGCATCTGAATACACCATATTTGGATTCGCTGCTCTTTTTTGACACCGATCGCCTCGGTCGTTTCTTTGCCGTGAATTTAAATTTCTCCTCTTTCTTCTCATCCGGGGTCTCACTTGACATGTTGCCACTGTCGATGGTTTTAAACATTTAAAAAAAAAACGAGGAAGAACGTCTATCTCGCTCTTTTCTTCGTTGCTTGGCTCTAGCTAAAGAGACGCCACGCTAAAATCTCAAGTTCCAGTATTAAATGTCATTAATGACGTGGCCTGTCAATCATGTCAGTGTTGCCAGAAAATAAAGGATGGATACAAGGTCGATTTTGCAGCTGGAATGATTTTTTTTTCATTTTGAAGATGTCGGAATGAAAGGAATGCAGTAAGATCGTAGTTTAATTGTGTCACTGTTTAAGAACAGAAAATTGCCTAATCGGTGATAAGAGGGATCTACCTCTTGCAAGCTAAAAACAGCCTGAATTACAACTTACTTCCTTGTTTGACTCTCTCTGGGAGAGATTTTTTCTTTGCGTGTAACATGAGGGAAATTTTTCAATTTCCGTTACCTCCCTCGATGTTTAATAAGATACTTGTTTAAGAAGATATTTACGTTTAGGAGATTCTATGCATGGAAAAGGGAACTAAAAATTAATAACGCCTAGCCTTGAAATCCTTCACGAGTCTAAGTTTTTAGTCCAGACATAAAACTCGTTTTGTTTGTCTATATGACCTACGTGCTTGATTTAGAAGAAAATTTGTCACGATCAGAAGAGGGCCACAGACGCACGCCAAATGGTCATGCAATAGTTATGATGAAATTAATGTTACGGATAATAATATTGAATAATGACAGTGATTTTAATACAAACAATAGTCACTATAAATATTTATAGTTGTTCTTTTTGAAATTGATATTTCGAATAGAAAAAACCTCATGCAAAAAAACCCCGTCCGAATAAAACTGCTCAAATACCACATTCATCGAATAGGGAAATTTATCGCGCAGGTACCCGTTACGACGACTGATCGTAACGTTTTTGTTCAAAACATCATGCCAACCTTGAACGAGCTGACACGATCACTAAAAGCGATTGAATTACAAGTCTCCCAAATACCGCCATTTCTTAGAGGTACTAGAGCTTCCAAAAGAATTATCTCTCTTCAAAATCCTGTGATCCCTAAACGATGAGCAAAATAAATTCTGGACATTTAAGTGACTGGATGGACTCATTCATCCTCACTTTAACGTAACCTACCGTACAGTTTACCGACTGAGGGCGTAGAATAAGCTGATAATAACGTACTATGTCTGCGTTATTGAGGAGTGCTTCGCTTTCCATTTCCACACTATAAAATCTTAATATTAAATAGCAAATATCTTGAGCTGAAACTTTTTCCTTCGGGAAAGAGGGTTGAGATATCCGAAAGTGGGTAATGCAATGGACATCCGCAAACTTTGGACATGAAAATCATCTGCCTAATAGTATTATTAAACTTTTTTAGTACAAAAGAGAAGAAATTGTCGAACAACTATCAGTACATTGCTGGTAAGCTGGTCCACTAGATATTCAAATCAAAACATTAGGAAGCTATAGAGATTCGTTCAGCTTGAGGAGTGGGATATCCGCGAAAAAAAGTTTTTTGTTATGATTATTTACTCGACTGTTCTCTCCTTTTTGTTGCCATCCGGCAATTTCTAGACGAATTATTTTCGATTTCCCTTTTCTTTTCTGTAATAAATAACTTTGGTCGCTATAACTGATACAACCATAATCGCAGAACCAAGTAGAGCAAGTATAGAATAAATGTATGTTATTCTCATTGTGATATAGTATCTTTGTCGATGTCATTTATTTGATCTTTGAGTTTAAACCTCACATGAAATCATTAACCTGCGGATTTATGAAATGATATTGGACTTTCATTCTCAAACTGCCTCAATTGTGCAAATAAGTTTCTGAATCTACAGCACAAATACTATCTACTGTGTGCTAGTTGACTTTTTATATCAAGCGTATGGCTAATCAGTGCCTAAATACAATGACAATTGAAGTTAATGGGAAACGACCTTCTCCTGTACCGCACAGCTTGTTAAGTCAATTTTCTTGAAATAAATAACAACCAAGAAATTAAGCATGGGATATAAAACCCTCTTTCCTATTTTTCCTCCATCTAATATCATTTTTCCATGTTTCCTTTTATTTTTTCTCATCTTCTCTATTATTTCCAGTCCAAGGTGTACGTGACAAAAAAAAAACCAATGTCTGGACGCGATGGCACAGGAGGGCTAAAAACTGCACCAAGAATATGCCTCCACAGACAATAAGAAAACTGATGAGATCTAAACCTAAATTCTCCTGGTCTCTATGAACAAACAGAGTCAATACTAGTATTATCCACAAAGTGTTGCTTACACCGAAAACCCACAGAACTGTCATCCTAAGGTTCCGGAGTTTTTTTTGGCCAAAAGTGGTTGACTCATAGGACTTGTCATCCGGAGTAAGGCATATTGGAAGTAAACCTTCCCAGTAGATGTTTTCCTTCCTCATTTCATCATAATCTTCCCATTCGACAAAAGGAACTCTGTCCAACTCACAACTTGTGAAGCTGATTTTCTTCATCTCTGAAAGAACCAAGAATACTTAGCAATTACCAAGTTTTAGATAGAGGAAGAAAACACAAAATTGCAAATAGCGAGAAAACTGCTTCTGTAACCCCTATTTTTTCGGCTTTGAAATGATGGGCAAGACAATTTTCACAACTTGTGAAAATTTTGAGAGATTTCACCGGACAAAAATGAAGAAAATCAAAGGCAAAGCCAAATTATGACTGACGAGCGCCTCCTTTCATAGAGCCTTAGCTTAATTACGAAAATAACTTTCTTAATATTTACTGCAGCAAACGATTGTCCGAACCTTGCTCATCGCCTTTTGATGACTTTTAATGACACAGAAAAGCGAAAACATAAAATTTTCTAGAGCATGAGTTTTCTTGAATCATAATTTGCTCTTAGTAAATATAAATCTACTCGTATTCTATCACAAAATACTGCAATCTAATTGGCCACTTTGTTCCATGCTAGGGGACAGAGAGGAACAATCAACTACGTCACTCTCTATTTCTAAATGTAATAGGTAACGAGGACAAAGCCTCATTAACCAACCTCGCGATAGAACTCTCGAGCTCGTAATCTAAGTGTTCAAGTCTCACTAGACAAGCGGAAAGGTCACATTCAGATAATGTTAGCGTGAGGTAGAGAAACATAACTACCATTCATTAAACCTTGGGCCGATGATATCACTTGCGGCCTTGACCAACAAGATATAGGTATCATATGAACTGAAATATATGGCTTTCAGGAAAATATGAGGTGAAGAAATATGTTATTTTTCTTAAGTCGTACGTACCAGGAGAAGGAAGTAAACTGTGAAGAGCCTCAATAAGCCTCTTTAAATGGCCTGGTTTTTCGATTTCAAATTTTTCTTTCAAGTATTGCCTCGGGTTCCTTTCGCTCTTCATTTTTAAATCTTGAAGAGCCTCTGGATCTGTACATGCTTTTGATTCAAACATGTGCCAATATTCTTCAAGACGGTACTCTACTAACCAGTCTCTAACGTTTCCCTGAAGATAGAAATGCATTAAAGACATCAACACGTTCAAATATCCTCTATCGATAGCAACTATTTTGTATTCTCATTTACCAACATTAATGATTAGTTGGTTCATTTTTCGCAATAAAAACTGTAAAGCTTCTTTACTAAATGAATAATTAAGTGGGTTGATCAAAACCATGCGAACGCGTGCAACGAGTTGAAAATCAATATTCCTTGATTCCTAGATACAAATACAGTTGTTTAGATAACTTACTGGAATGTCGTCACTGATCTTAACCAGAGGAATTTTCTTTATGTGTTGCAGGAGCTTTTCAGTATCCGCTTCCTCTACACCAACTTCTTTGAGATCCTGAAATATCATAAAAATAATGGACAATTTCCATTTTAATAGAAAGCAAAAGAAAACTGACAGCATTGAAGAGCTCAAAAGTTCAGTAATACAAAGTAAAAAAAATATGTTTTAGTGGGAATTGGCATTAAGCATTATCTATAAATTGCCTCTAGGAGAATTGCGTAACACTTTTTTTTAAAATAAATATTGCTTAGCAAGTAGAGCAAAGTCTGCAGAATGAGGATTTGTACGTCTCCCCTCCCTGAGGAGTTCAGAAAATTTTCTACGCAGGCTTAAGACTTTGATTTACTTTAGACAAAGCAGATGGGGGTTATGATGTAAAGACAGGATACCCTCCTCGAAAAACAGATCTATCAGTTGGAAATTTATAAAATGTGATTTCAGGATCCTTCACAGTGAGAGTTGACGATTTTAACAGACACGAAGCTGACAATCGATATGAACCGATCGCAGAGCTTTGTCACTTTAGTAGTAGACAAAGGACTGTTCATACCTTTTTAGTAATAAGAAAAAAATAATAATATAGAATCAATTTTGAAACCTTAATTTCCAACAATCGTTAGGCCAGTCTGTACAATCCGAACGCTTTTGAGGCTTCTCATAATTATCATAAGGTCAAACTTACTTCCTCTTGTAATCCAGCTAAATCCATCATGAGTTCATATCCATTTTCAACGAAACCAGTTGCATATTTCTGAAAAAAGAAAACATTTCAATCAGAAACCACGATCAAAGTCAAGAAAAACAAATTATCTTTTAATCCAGCTTAATTTATGATTAATCTATATTCTTTTCTATCGAAATGTGCAACTAGTAAATATGGCCATCATGAGTTATGCTCTCTTTTTCTACCTCATATCTAAAGTGCAGGAGGGTCTTGGTTAATTGTCATAGGATAAGAGAGCATTTTTGCTGTGTTGATACCAAGCGATTAGCTAAGATTTGAGGTAAAACTTCGAAGTTATCTGGACTATGGTTATTACTGGATGAGTTTCCTGATTGTGGCTTCTTGTCTAATCTAGATCGGTGGACGTGCATACTTTGCCTACTGACCTTTCATTAGAGCAACACTTTAGTTTTTGTTTGGCTTTCGAAGTTAATGATTCATCGTTTGCACGGAAGCTTTAAGGACGTTGTTCTTCATTCATGAGATTCTGGTGTAAAATGTTTTCAGAAATCTTCTGATAAGGAATGTTTAATCTTCCTAGGTCAGTTGACCCGCATGCCTAATCGCACTTGCCGATAGTAAATTACTATGTGCATCAACACTATGGACTTTAGTTAGTTAGAGCCAGAGCCCGGAGAGAGTGATCAAAGAAGTGAATGAAGTGAATTGCTGTAAGTAATAGTTAGCGGAATTTATGATATTAGAGAATACCTTACAAGAAAGAAATAGAGTCCTAAGTGCTTTTCGCTCAGTGTGTGGCGCTGTGCAGTTAATTTCCACCTATCCATTTCGTGACAGGATGATAGGTTCTGGTTACATAATATTATTCAAATTCAGCTTTTCAGCTTTATTACCCCCAGCTCTTTATCTTGTAAATAATTCTTCACTGGCGTGTGAATACGTTCCTTTTCAGACGGTGACATTTGGATTGTATCTAAAGCTAAGAAAGGAGGAAATACGTGTGTCGTCAGCAATTTTCTTGCGATTGAGTTATGGGTGTTTAGGATAAGTTACCGCCTTCCCTGTTGTAGAGCTTTCTAACAATAACTTGAGCCTTTACTCAAGATGTCGATGTCTTTTTCATCAGGCTATCTCCAGGGGGGGTAAATTGTTTTGGTTTTACGCTGGTATTTTAGAAACTTTCGTAGTGCAGCAGCACCTATTTCACGCCGAGAAACAACTTGGAAAAATGTTTATCTTCGAACTGAAAGTATTTTGTCTTGTTTCACCATACGAGGCGGATTTATCAGTTATTTCTCAAGCCTTACTTGTTGTTATTCCTTTTGGTGACTCTGCTTTCCTGTTTAGACCTGACGGACCGGGACCCTACAATTTAAGCAAAATCGTCAATGTCTGATTTAGGAAAGAAATGCTAAAGGACTAAAAGGTTATTGGAAACTTTGCATCTAGCAATAATTGAAATAGCTATCATCTACAAGTGACAGAAAAAAGATAACTTTGGGTAGGCACAATAATCAATAGCAGATCCAGGAAGAGGGTTCTGAGGGCCCGAACCCTTTCCCCAAACTCATATCTTATCTGATACGAAAATTATGGAAACGAAAGGTTTGCTCGCCTGTTATTCCTCAGAATGAAATGTTAAAAATTTAGTCTTCTTGAAATATTTCTTAACTTATTTAGGCCCAAACGTAAAAGCCCTTCCATCCACTTGCATTTCAAGGGCTGCCGCCGTGACAAGTTTTTAATAAAAGGATCAGCAACAATAGATCAGATTCCTACGAGTTTGAAACGTTTTCATGTTGACTAAGTACATCATGTCCTAAGGCCACACTTCATCAATAAACCACTTTGACTGGTTGATTTAATGTAGGTTAAATTTGCGATGTATCTAGTTCACAAGGCCTACTGTAGAGTTTGAAGGTTTCCCTGTTATGCTTGGAAACCAAGGTTTATCATCCTGTACCTTACTCTCTTTTTCATCCTGATCTGGTCTAATTTGATGTGATCTTTGCAGACACAAACATGGACACCCAGAATAATCTCCCTCTCTTGTTCCTGTTGAAAAAAGAAAAAATGAACACACTAAGAAGAAATTTCAGAAAAGAAAAACTATACTCAAAGATAGGGTTTGCGCTTTTAAGTTCTTACTTGAGAGCATGCCTCAGAAAATCATCTGCATGGATAATTGTGCTCGCTGACTGTTGCGTATCTGATCTTGGCAGATTGCAATTCTCTAATTTTCTGCACTTTTGATTTAGAAATACAAAAAAAAATCAATGCGTCCTTGAAAGATAAAGGTGTGTAATAGCAAAGTGCAGGAAATAAAAATAATTTTACAAAGAGTTCAACGATAGTAGTGAAATGATAAAATTATAATAAACGTACCCCAAGAAGTGTCGGTTAAATTGCAAATGGAGTATATCGTCAACAACAGAAAGCCAGATGGCAGGCACAAGATATACCAAATTCCACAGACAGAGCAAAGGATTTCTCCTGGATGCAAGAAAGAAGCAATGGCAAAGACCCCTATCAATCCAGCTAAGTACAGGGAACTCACAGCAGCCAGTAAATTGTGTTGCAGAAGTTTTGGTGCTGTTAAAGTTGTGTTCGTATACACTATCGTTCCAACAGTTGGATCAACTTTTCTTGCCTGCAAATCTTTTGAAACTTGAGAAGCCATGCCAATTACTATGATGCACATAATTGCTGAGAAAAGAAAGGTCAACATCTTGGATACTTTCAGCTGCCATTTTGGCTTGTAGAGACATAATAATACATAAGCAACAAAAACCAGACAGAGGAATGCGACTGCATATATTTCCTTTATGGGAACACCTGATAGTGTCATTCCACCCGCTATGACCAGAATTAATGTGGACGATCTGAAAGACAAAAACTAGTCAAGTTGCATTACAGTTTCAGTCAAATTTCTGGGCCTAAATTCTGCCCGCAGTAATAAGCAACGACAGCTGAGGCACATCATACTGCTCTAAAAGCAAGAGACATTCTCATTCCTCGGTAAACAATCCTGGGATTTTTTAACCCTTAGCATCATCAGGAATTGCAAAAGCGCATCTTTTGAAAGCTATGTTAGGCAAGCTTCGCTCTTTTTTTCCACACGCCATCATAAATAACGTTTGTTTTGGCGGTTTTTAATAAAGATGCTAAGAATATAGGATGATTTCCAAAAAAATTGATTGATGCTTCATATGACTCGATTAAAGAATTATCTTTTCTGTGACTTGTGCCAATGTCTAAAAACTCATGTGAACTTTAAAAATGCTTTTAACTTACCCGATCACAGAGAAAATGACAACGAACGTTTGGTAAAGGATAAATAAAAACGAGACATGTTTGTTATTTCTCAGTATTTCTCTCCCTTTGCTGATCAGCAAAACTAAGTTAGCGAGGGAAGATAGCGTCCATCGTCTCCTTTGTTTGTAAAACTCTTCAAAGCTCTCCGGGCAGTAAGTGCTGTTATTTGCAGTAGCACAATATGTCAATCGTTTGCCACGTTGTATCATCAGTGTACACAACCAACGGTCTTCCCCTTAAAAAATGGTTGTGACTTAGTTGATTTTAGCAATATGAGCATAATGATGACATATGAGCATAGTTATGCCACGGTTACAGTATAAGGGGATTGATGGTGACAATCGTGGGTCCAGGAGGAAAAGAAATTAAGAGGCACTAATTATTTATTTACTTATTTATTTTGTTATCAATCTTTTATTTGCACAAAGTAAATGTAATTACCGAAGAATTCTAATGCATAAATAACGGAGTAAGGTAAACAAAGAGGTGAGAATGAACCTTACCCAGGTCTTTGGAAAGATATTCAAAGGGACCTTTTGCGGGAGTGGCAAACTCTTTTAAAACATCCCTCAAAGCCTCACATCTATACAAGCTGAAGCATCCAGGACAACACAAGACTGTGCCAAGCATATGATTAGTCACCTAAAGTAAAAAAAAAAAAATTAAAAACAATAGAGAAATTGTTTTGTATACATTTATAAGCCTGACTGAAATAGAGGTGTCTTTGTTATCTCCCTGAAGCATAACTTTTCTGTTCGATTGCTTTGCTGAAAAAAAGTCTTCACGATAAAAATGACTAGATATGGTTATTATACTCATCTTGCAGCTCAAATGACAACACAAACCTTTTGAAACCAATGGCCGATAGCATAGTCAAATATCTGATACCATACGATGGGTCCACGGCCTAGAGGATGGGTACGGGCACAAACTGCATCAACTGTGGTATCCTCGCAGATTCGATCAATTAAGGTCTCAACGGACTCGTAGGTAAATTTAACATCACCGTCTGTTGAAAGGATGAAGCACTGGTCGTCTTTCCCTGAGATGTAATCATATATAAGGCTGGATTAATTTTATCATAATGACAAGATAGTCTAAAAATTTGATACGATGAAAAAGTTGATATTTACCTTCAGGGATTTTATAATCCAGGATGTAGGACATATACATTACTTGGCTCCACCTCTTCTTCCTCTTCACCTTTGTTTGGCCCAAAATGCAAAATTTGAGCGTTAACTGCCCTGTATTAATAATAAACAATAGAAATTTAGATTACTACAAAGCAAGAAAGATTCTTCACCTTTGTACTGTCCTTTAAATGAATTGTGAACTCCATTTTGTCCCGGACTGTCCACTTTAGCTGCATTCCGTAAGGGGTCCTCATCTTGATACAACTGTTGAGAGGCAAATTTAAGAATTCCTTCACCAGATAAACTAACCGCAACACATGACTGTTCAGCCGGTCTTTATCAACACAACCATCAAAGAACACGTGTGATTCGTAACGGTGCCTTGAGTTCTGTAGGTTCTTGTTGACATCTATGATTGACCGAAGAAGTTCTTCCATTTCTTTGTCTTTTTCGAGATACATTGTAGTGCAAATGAAGACATGCATTTGACTATCCTCTCCTCTAGAGGCTATCAAAAAGAACAAAACTTGTGAGAATTTCTGTGTTAAATAATTGCTACTAGTTGCAATTTACTTGGAAATCCGGCCATCGCCACATGATAATTAAGACAAGGTGATATTTCTTCGAGTGACACGATTAGAGTTTTCATAACCTTCGGTGACGAACGATGGCTGGGAGATTAAAATAATGGCGGCTAAATAAGAGGAAGGAGAAAAAAATAAATAGTTACTCTGCAGATTTTGCTGTGTGGAGTGTTCCTTTTCAGATGAGCGGTTTCGTCTGTAAGTTAATAAGTACTGTTCAAAGCAAACACCTAAGGAAAAAAAATACGAAATTTACCGTTTGGACTATATAACTCAGATAAAAGCGATCACTTCATTCATCCCGCAATATGTAGTGATTAATATATTTGTAGTGTTCTTCTTATTATTATTGGGTTTCCTCCGTTTAGTCTCGTTGACTAAATTGTTTTCGGTATTCGATGTCTTTGCAGTTTTATTTTCTCCTATTTTAAGATTTGGGTTTAAGTCCTCGTCGTTATCAATTTCCACAAAAAAAAAAGAAAAAAGAAAAACGTTTTCAAGGCAAAATTTTTCTTCGACGACGTTTGAAGTGACAGAACATGTAAAATAAATGTGTACCTCTGGACTCTGTCTATCATTTAGTAATGAAGGTGTAAAAATACATACCATTGTAAGATGGAATCCAAAGCAAGCGGTTTGCTTTCTCCTCGGGACTTTTCCACAAGTAATAGGTCGTCACCATGCACTGTGCAAGCCACAGAAACACTGCGGCCATTATTGTATAATATGAAGGTTTTGGTGCGCACGGTAATGGAAGTGCTTTTTTTTCACATATTTTCCAGAGGTGTGGCGCGATAACAGAAATCGGTGTTGCCAGCATCAACGGTAGAGCATATCCGATCCAGTGCATGCCGAGAGAACATGCGAGCCAACCGAAATTGTAACCGAAGAAGCTCGTTACAATGTGAAGTATAAAGTATAAAAATGATGGATTTGAAGTTGTTATATCTCGAAATCCGTTAGAGATGTTTTTGAGCTGCACAATGTCAAATATTTGTGAAAATATAACTGCCATTACGGGGATGAAAAAAAGTTTACAGAAAGAAGAAATGATGGCCACTTTCGCTTGAACTGTGCTTCCTGGCACACAAGAACTTGGGTTTGGGTTAAATCTATGGTTCTCATCGATAGAATCCGCTATCCTTCCTGTTACATTACCTTCTTGTGAGTGACTATCACTTGCATCGCGAGAATAAATAACTGGAATTCCTTCCCCTTCTACAGTAGGATCTTGCTCTTGGTGACTGTTTCTGCTCTCCACGGTCCCAAGTCTGATGACTGATGATTCTGGAATCTCATCGTTACCTTGCTCTGGATTGTTGACAATGCTACATGAATTGATGGCCTCAGGACACTTACCTTTGGCATAGTTCCCTTGAATTTGGACTTCTCTAAACTTGGGCGACCAGACAATGGACAGCAGGTAAAAAGCAGCTTGAGAACAAATCTGTCCTGTTCGGTCAGTCACCTTAAAACAAAAAATAAGCAAGAAAATTATCGACTTTTCACTTTTTTTCTCAATAACATGATATCTAATAGAAAGATAACTAAGGATCCTCACAAATTAAAAGCCATGTCGAAGCAGAAATGACAGGAATTTATTTATTCTTTGTGTCCTTTAAATTTTTGGCTTGCTATTAAGAAATCTTTGTTGTTCGAATCCATGAATTTAATTTATTAAATTTCTGCTGAGCTTGCAAAAAATAGCAGTATTAGGCATTCCTAACCAAAAGTAAAAAAGAGCATTTTTTGCTTTTAATATACAGTATTATCACAATTCTGTGTTGCATTCGAAACAATCAACTGACGTGTAAAAAACAATTTTAAACGCTCACTGGCTTCTGTCTTTACGAATGTTAATGATGTGCGCCACTTTTTACCAATTCAATTCTAAAATGGTTGGATCTAACGTTAAAGCGTAACTGACGGCTAACAGGTCACTTTTTCGGAATACCGTCTAAATGCCTGGGGTAACGCATTGAAACAGATACAATGTGCTTCGAATGCCTCTTTGTACCTTTTTTTCGCCGGGAAAACTCTCCTGAATGCAGCTTCATGAGTCATCCGCCGTAAAAGCTTCGATTTTGATCATGTGACCTTATACGTCACACGTGTGTACATTGACCAAAGTAAATATGACGGATAGTACTTCGAGTGAAAGCAGTTCTATTTCGGGGTCTGTTTATTCGGATTTTGAGGCCTCGATGGAAGGCGAACGTAATGAAAGGGTTTATGAATCTTTTGGCCAAACCAGGCCCTTGCGATTTGAACCGCCAGGACGAACGTAACCTAAAATAGAGCGCGAGAGTCAGAAGAGGATCAAGAGCCCGAGGGCTGCGGCCGCCTCAATCAAGAAAGCGAGAATGGTGATAGCATTTACGACTATAGATAAAGTATCTGAAAATCAGTCGCTTGTTAAATGTAGGAGCGATCAAGTAAAGAAAACCAAATGTGCAAACTCTTGAATACCATGGGAGCGAAGTGTTTTTATGCTAGACGCACGCACCTTTCGAAGCTAAGGTTTCACTGACTGAAATACAAACATACACGCTTGTGGAAGTTTAATTGGATGGGTTATACAGGTTCACACGCGTTTGAATCGATTTTAAGTTTTCCTGTGTTGAATTTGGCGAACTATTGAATATTTCTCGGCTTTTACTTTAAAACACGATGCAGAATAAATAGCACTCGCACATGCAGAATTGTAAATAAAGTAAAGTAGCCTAAAGTTTGGGTTATCTCTCACGTTTGTGACAGTTACAGAGCTGATAACTGTTCCTTTTGGTGAAACCAATCATACAAGTTGTGCTCTTTATTTCTTCTATTCAACATCGCGAAAAAAATTGCTACTTTACAGATTTTTTTATTACAAGGTGTCAGTGTGGATTCTTCCAATCAATGTGGAGGGAGGAAGAAAACATCTTTTGCCAAGAAGTAGATGTGGTTAAAAATAAAAATTTGTAGGACGTTACAGTGGAACAGTTGCAGGCAGAAGCCAGATGTATTGTTCAGCATCCAGGGTTTGAGGAAACTGGTGAAGGCTGACTCCGTCTGCATTTGTTTTGTTAAAAAACATCGCTACACAGCGCTTCACTGGTTTTCGTTTTCTTTGTTCTACATCCTGTCGTTTTCAGTCCATATCGTAAATTTCAACACGGCTAAGAGTGGTACAGGTTTGGATAACTTGAGCGTGAATATATATATATATATTAATATATTTTTTTTTTGGTTGTTTTTGTTTTTCAAGTTCAGGTCGTAATTTGAGAAACATTACGTGCTTGTTATTTCCGTAGTGCTTTTTACCAAAGCACTACGTTTTAAACGGTGGGTGCGAGGTGGTCCCTTGACGTGTGCTATAGTGGTTTACTCTCTCAGGTTGTCGGCTTGTTTTATTTACGATAAACGAGGGCGAGTAATTTATTGTTCACTCTGCTGACATTGATACATTTTTGAAACGAGTAACCTTTCGGACAGGATTGATTTCATCGTGTTTCCGGTCGCAAATGAGAAACAACGCTTGAGTGTGGCGCTCATAACAAAGCGTTTCTTGTAACATTCTTTTACACCATGTTTCTGTTAATATTCACTTCCATTGGAAGTTAATTAAACTTAGGCACACGAATGTGCTATATATGCAGCTCGATGTTAGATTTAATCATTCCTGGAGAACTCTCAGCTAGAAACGAAATTCATCGAAGGAAATAAACAAAAAGTTCCTGTACATTTCGGGAACGTGAAAGAGTTTCGTTCACGAAACCAGATGACGACCTCTCATAATACGCGACAACACTTTGCGTTTAGTCACGCTCACTCCAGAACCGATGGGCCTGAAGTCACAGTGATATACACCGGACAAAATCTAAAGTCAAATGCTTTTCGGCTTGGACTAAAGAACATTTCTTTTAGTATAGGACTCTATAATGGTAAGAGGAAAAAATCCATTTTTTTGCAGCTGTTTGGAATGGCGTGTAAATTACCTGTGGCTCTGAATACAGACAAGCGATCCGTCGCGTTTCGATTTTTCAGCCTTCGTTATTTTATTTCTCTCTTCGTATTTCGTAGTCTCTAAATGGTGGCCTATACCAGAGTGGAACAAATACTATTTTTTTCCGCTCGTAAATTTCGATAGCAGCTGAACAGCTGGGGCGAAGTTGTTACTTTCAGGTCTTGACAAGACGCTTTTCAATGCCTTACACACGTGTGACGACTCACATCACGTGACCTGAATCGCACCGTTCTCAAAATGGCCGTCGATTAAGCCTCAAAAAAAATTCGTAAAAAATTTGATTTTGCACATTATATCGTTAATTTGCTCATTTAGGATTCTTTAACCCAAGAGGAATGTATTAGGACAAAAAAAAAGAAAAGAAGAAAAATTTGGCGTCAGTTACCCTTTAAGTTAAATGTGGAAAAACCCAATAACTTGTCACTCGTTCATGAAATGTTTGCAAATAGTGTAGTTCTGCTCATTTTTCAACATTTCTAGACATCTATTAATGATAAATAACAATGTGAACAACAAGGTCGAAGAACAAAAGCAAGTTTAGTTCAAGTTACCTTGAAAGACAGAATGATAGTGCCAGTAAAAACAAGAACGGTGGAGAGTAGAGATGCCACTATAACCTGCTTGCTGATTGGGGTTTCGCGTTGCCACAAAAATTTGTAGACTTCCTGCCATAGTAACGATAACCCAGATACACTGCACATTAGTAACACGATTGAATCAGGGCTCACAGGTAGAACTGTCACCATCACCACAGCAATGTAGCACAAGCAGCATGCTTCTAAAAATCCACCAATCAAAGTCTGCCGTGTAAAGAAAAAATTATAGCATCCTAAGTTTTGAATGTGGAGATACAAATAAGAGATGATAATAATTGCTGCACCGAGTGCTATTTGTATGCGTGTCACTTGCTGTTATGTACTTAAGACCACATAGAGCCAAAGATATCTGATTGAGAACCAGTATATCCGGAAAAATTGTGAGCGTTCGAAAAAACCGAGAAGACGAGATCAACGTTGTGTGACGTTGATTCGGCATTGCATCGGAAAAGGTGTCTATTTGAAATTTAATGGCCCAAGTCTCGTGTTACGTTCGCAGGAACTCCACCGACATAAAACAGATACGATGATAATATTTACTCTCAAGTGGCCAAAAAATATTTGACATCTCTCAAGCGGCCAATTAACAAATCGACAGTGGTTAAGCGTGGTCTGTACTCTTCTTGACAACGATAGTCGTCATCTCAGAGCTTAAAATGTTATGGAAGCAGCCGGATGAGTCCGTAACAAATTTTGAGCACTGCAATAATGACGAATATCGTTGTTGATAAGAGTACAGACCACGCTAAACCACTGTCGATCGTAACACATTGATGCGAGCAGTGTTGTCTGTACACTTATCAAAAACGGCAAACTGGCCAATCAGATTGTGATAACAATGCCTATTGTGGTAAAAAGATTGACAGGCGAATCGTCAGTAAATAGTGATTATCTGATATCACGTAACGCAAAGAGGGAGGGCTGGGGCGAGAGAAATTTATTCAATTCCTAATGGCCAGTCAAAAATGCCATTGAATTAAAATGAAAGTCTTTGGGTTAATTATGGAAGCAGTGATATCGTTTTTGTAAATAATTTCCAGTTCCAAACACCTGCTACCACTGGTTAATTTCCTTTGACCCATAATTTTTTTAATCGACCATACATCTCAACAAAGCAGGAAATATTGCCATTGAATCCCTTCGATCCGAAATTATACACGGGTTTAGTTTAACAGACAATTCCTCAATATATTGAATCTTAAGTTCAGTCACCGAGAACTTGAGTATTTAATTTTTAATTTGACCCTTCATAGCATGAGAGCTAAAAGTCTCCGCATCATTTTTGTCAGTTCAACATGGCGCGAAAAGTCTGTCTATGAAATTAGAACTGCCATCGAAGGAAAATGATTTTTTGTTTGTTTTTACGACGTTGCAATGAAAATCAGAGAATTACTTACCGAATAAGAAAGAAGTATAGACGATGTTAGCTTTTGAGAATTCAACCTTACGTTTTAAACCGGCAACAAGTACATTTAGTGGAATATACTTGTAATCGTTTCGCACTGCTTTTCTGTTTATGTGTCAGGAGCTCGCACATAAACAGACACAAGCAAACACACTTCCTTTCCTGGAAAGTAAAGAATATCCGACCCTTTTAGAAACAGGAAGAGAAATTTTTGTTTGCAGTAAGTATGTAAGACGAACTGGTACTAACAAATCAGCGCTTTCACGGAGCCATTATCAAGACAATGCATAATACTCATTCAAAAAGTAGTGAAAGGACGTAGTAGAGTTGATTAAGTTAACATAAGGCATAACACAAAGACCCTCACAAGAACGGACGTAGTTTTCACGCGTAAATACGCGACTGTCTGGCGAATAAAAGTATTTCTCTAATGAGGCGGTCAAACCTGTTCTTAAACTTCCCCATTATTATTTAACTTAGAACGTTTTGAGCCATTTTGTTCATTCTCGTAGCGTTTACAGATCGTGGACACCTTTCTTTTGTGTCCATTGACGCACTCATGCGAAATAAAACTGGCCATAAAATTATTTTCTGCTATTTTGAAAGAGCATGAGTGAAAAGCCTACATTGCAATCACAGCTCTGTAGCTACGTGACGCTGTTGTATCAATAGTGATTTCCATCGACCACATCTCTCATTTACTTTCGCGATGAGATAGAGACGAAGAGAAGCCTTTCTTCCAGAAATTGCGAAATATTTACTGTTACTGATAAAGATTTAAAGGCGTCTAAAAATTAAATGATTTCCTCCTGCAGTAACTCTCACCACAGGGACATAGAGAAAAATTTTAAAGAAACGCAGCAAAATGAAACACAAACATTAAATACACAAGTGACCTTAACGGTATCGCATCACTGAGTACTCCAACCTCTAGTATTCTTGGTCCTCTGTCTAATTGAATGATAGATTTAATTCACTCGCCAATTTGATAAATTTCATTTAGGAAACACGGAAGAAGTAAGCAATCAAACCGGAGACTAAAGTGAAAACAACAAACATGAAAAAAGATTTGCAGAAGACATGAATACGTATTTCAAACCCTAGCAATTTCAAATTTTTTGCGTGGTTTTGGAAGGTTGTGAGTCAGTCTTAGTATTCACTGCTAATTCACTTTACACATCTGATTTAGGAGGAGAAATCGCGCTGTATTGGCAGGTCTCAATGGCCGCACGACACATTTGACCAAATTGCCTTAGTGCGAAACGTGCGCGTAAAACTGGAAATGCTCAAAAATGTTGTCAGACCGAGTTCATTAAGTTCATGTAAAAAATCTTCCCTTAGCAGGGCATAATTTCAATTTTAAAATTTCCTTATTTACAACGCAAACATTAAAGAGATTCATTTTAGCAATGACTAAGTATGAAGATCTGATACTTACAAATATGGATGCTTGCTTCGAAGGCCACGGTCGATCTTTCTCCAACAAACTTGTCCAACATGTAATTATAAAACAAACAGCTTCTGGGATCATTAAAACCAAAACGAGCATCAAAAAGAGAGCCTGTTTATTTGTCTCTGACGAATATTTGGTTGTGGAATTCGTTGTAGTTTCATCGATACTTTTAAACTGCTGCCCTAGAACTAGCAAACAAATCTTGCTCGTCACAACACACGATAAGACAGCCCCATAGATTATAAATGCCGTTACCCATTTCGCGACGCGAATGACTACCTCGTTTTTAAAGTCTCTGCTCTTATTTGATTGACGCGGTTTACGACGACTTTTTACTGAGTATTTCATTCTCATCCCTTTCTGCTAATACAGGGTCATGAAAAACATGTCGTGAGAGTCTGGCTTCTTTTTCCGTTGCTTAAAGAGACGCCTATTTATTATCCTTTTTTAGTATCAAATGACAGTAATGACTTGGCCTGTCAATTATTTCACTGTTGCTAAGAGAGATGGCAGTTCCATTATGTTAGCGTCAAATTATCTAAAATTGTCTTCTTAATTTCAGTAAACATAGCAACAGCTTAAACTACAGAGCACTTCCTCGTTTCTCGTATTGCTTGGGGTGTTGACAGATTTTTGTTATAGCCCTATGATAACTTTAACCCAGGAGAGATCTACGTTTTATCCTAAACTTTTAAGGCAACTTATTTTATTTTGGTAATCTTTTCGTTCCTTGTTCAAAAGAGACGCTAATGCGTATTTGGAACGATAAAAATTTTGACAGAAAATCGGTGAAAACCCGGCCTTGTAAGTCACGCGTGTCTGAAGTTTGCGTCACAGATAAAAATTCCCTGTTCATCCAATTGACCTTGGTATGTGGTTTTGTCACGATTAATAAACTGATACAGGCACATGCGGACTGATCATGCAATCACAGACATTTACGTGAATTCGAACATCCTTCTAGAAAAATCCAAACTTGTGACGTACGTTAACTCTGATTAATTAGATGAAAGAATATGACACCAATGTTAACCCTTTGTATATGGTCTGCAGGCGCAAATGGTTGTTTTATGAAATAACTGTCTCCAGCTTCTCTCCTCACAATCCCAATAGCTCCCAAGTCAAATCAAAGGCCTCTTGGAACCAGCTCATTGATGTTATGGCTTAAGTTTATATCGATTTCTTGGACTTGTTGAATATAGGTGCAGTTGAATTCGGTTTATGTGAACTTTCAAGACCTATGGAATAAATTCTCTCTCATTTTTAGGCAGTTGTGTGATAAGAAAACTTGTGCGTTCGTCGTGATGAGAATTGGAAAAAAGGTTGTTAGGGTGAAGGTAGGATGGGCAGGGGTCATTAGGCAGACAATGTCGTTTTTGTTGGCGTTTGTGGGGTGGAGGGTGGGCTGGGTGGATAATCAGGCATCAAATATTGCACTAGCCGCAAAATATTAGAAACCCTCATCTTTCACGATCATTTGCACCATTGTGAAGTATTCTTTTCCCGTTTCTTGATATCTTTTGTTTTTAACAAAGCGGCCATTGTATCTGGTTTCTAACAAAGCGGCCACAATCATTCTTAATAGAATCTCAAGCCTTGATATGGTCTGATTTCCTCATATTAATATTTGCGTAGTCACCAAACAGATGAAAGATAAAATCACCAGAAAAGTAAACAAATTGCCGGTCACGAAAGCTACGCTTTGCTTTTCCCTTTGAAAATTCGCTAGTTCCTCATGTACGAAGCCAATAATAATATATGAGGCAAATATGGAAAAATCAGTGAGTGTACAGCCCTGAACGTTGAAAATATATTAAGTCGAAGGAACAGTTTTGGTCTCGGACCGCATTTTTGTGAACAAAATGATCACATATCGGTTAAAACCAGGCGGTGTGCGCACTCCGATTTCGTTGCATTGTGGTAGCTTCATTTTCAATATGGCGGTGAAAGCAGCAGAATTCGGTAGATTTTGACTGAACATTCCGCAACAGTTAGCCCGTTCCTTTTTCCTTTCACCATAGGTAAATGTAATTTGATTTATTCTGAATGTGTAAAAGTATTTTTTGTTCGTATTTGTCGCGTATTCTATGGTTCTCAAGGAATAACGCCATCGCTGTTTTTGTGTATGTAATTTGAGACCGGATTTCAAGAAGGTAAAATTTGATGTACGTCGTAGTTTGGAGCCTTTTAAAGATTTGGATGGCTGCTTTGATCCTTATTTGACAGCTCTGACCAAACGCTCTCAAACGCTCTCCAACGGTACATGTGTTTCTCGCATTTTAAGTGCGGGTGTTTGAGACCGATTATGGCCGAGAAAAGGCTTATTGTTGCGTTACACGGCGTTATTATTATATACTCAACTGTGTTGTAAATCTACTTTCCTAAGTAAAAGGAAATTAACTTATCGCGAGTGTTGTATGGTAAATCTACTATCTTGATCACTGAATGAAGGACAGTTGAATTTGAGCTATAAACGGAATCACTTGACCAATGAATAACTCTACAATGCGCACGGCGACACACCGGGTAAGCCGGAAAGCAAAAGGTAGTCGATGGTTAAAAGGTGTTGATTGCTTGAGCGACTCCTGCCATTCGCTTGCGCTTTTAAATCTTCAAACCTGAAAGCTTAGTTGTTATGAGGATATCCTTTAATGACTTCCGTTTGCGATGTGATATTAAGGGTTAGTTTTAAGGTGTCATTTCCCCATCTGTATGTTCTCGAGGTTTGGCAAGGCCAAATGAGATTGTGTTACAAAAGGTGATATTTTCATGTGTGCGCGCTATTTTTTTTTTTTTAAGTATCAGTCTCTCCCGCAGAAAGTAACTCCAGAGATGCGTTTTTCAAAACCTTACTCTAGGTATTCTCTATTCTTTGAGCATATTTGAAACTCTGTACGTTTTTTAATAAGCGTTGAGCGTGACGAGTTTGGTGTTAGGAGGCGTAAAGCTTCTCCTTCCGCGAATCCCGTATTCACGCCTTTAAGTGTATGACATGGAAAATAGTTCGTGTATTAGAAGGTCGCTGCCTCTTTGGAATGCGTTTGCATGTCAAGGGACGATTCCCCGTCAAATAACTCGCGAATTTGATATTATTCACACAGCCATCGGCTGTGTGTGAAACTGCTGCCAAATGAATAGATTCTCGGGCAAGACTGCAGTTTCGATTCTTTCTGAATCTCTTCAATTGCCTCCTAACTACGAATTTGTCACGGAGGAAAAACAGGAGTCGCACAGGCCCGCAAACACTTTTTAACTTTCGAAGGAATGGCAACAGACAGTGAATTTCCATTAAATTCCACGTGCTCCAATTCTTGCTGCTACCAGAGATTTTCACTCGACCACGACAGGATGCAAATGACTTATTTTTCGTTTTACGACCATGATGCAACGCAATCAGAGTGCGCACACCGCCTGGGTTAAAACGATGAAAAGTACGAACCACGTTTAAGTTCAGGCACGACTCAGAGTCATTTTTGCCCGAGCCATAAGGCGGGAGTGAAAATGAGCTGTGTGGAGGTCCCAAAACATATTTATACCCAAGAACATAAACTTTATTACTATAATTATCACTCTGAAGGGTATTGAGGACATCTGAACAAAATGACAACTAAACAGTCTGAACGATCGCGCAAGCTCATACATGTTAAATGGTTTTCATTTTTCTTCAAAGAAAATCCTGTTCATCCGAGGTACAGGATAAAAGTAATGATCGAGTCCAAATGGGACATTTATAACACTTCTCATGATCATATTATATTTATACAGGGCGATTTCCACTGATGTTCAATTGCGCTTTGCGATGTAAATTATATAAATCTAATTAAAATAAAATAAACAAGGACAATTTTAATTTACAAGGATGATGCCTGAAAGGTTAAATATACAACAGGTAAAACGTGTGAATGAAGTGAAATATTAAGCTTCTCTAGACAGATAAGTCAGAACTTTCTCCCAAGAATATTAATATCATCAAACTTAAACTGTGAAAAGGTTTATTAGGTAAATAGATAAATGAAGTAAAAAATATCTGATTTTATAAAAACTTTTTTTTTTTTTTAATTAAATCTTGACTTTTTTCTTGAAAACATCCAGATCGTCACAAGGTCTTACGTCAATTTGTGGGGTACGTCTTGATGCACAAAAGGGCTAAAAATTGGGGTAACCAGAATAAATCCATAAACGATCAGAAAACCTAGATCGATGATATTTAGGCCTAAAAACCTTAAGATCTTTATACTGAACCAGTATCAAAATAGACATCATTAACAATGTGTTGCTAACACCGGATACCCACAAAGCTTTGTTTGTAAGTTTCACGAGGTCTTCTTTGGGCTCCGGTGAGTGAGTATCACGAAACAGGCATAACGTTTGCATAAATCTGTACCACTGTCCACATTTAGCAGCCGTGATAGTGCCACTGTTGCTATGCAGGGCTTGAAGTGGCAAATGAGAGCGGAAATTGCCTAACGCGATTACTTGTCGTCTAACCTTTGCTCTGTTGTTCATCTGGTCTTGCTGCTCTGGACGACTTACGTCCGCCTTTATGGCTTCTTTTACGGCACTTATTGCTTGCTCTACGATGTTAAGAAACGGGCCGTATGGTGGTAGTTTTTTAGGCTCAGAATCAGGACCAGTAATGGCAGGATTGTTGTAGGCTAGTGCGCCTTCGCAATTGATTTTCTATTCCTGTTAATGATTAACCATTGCGCGAGATTGAAAGTATATATGCTATGTTTGATTGTCCAAAGGTGCAATTGTTCATCTATTAATGCTATTGAGAGTTAACAGGTATGCAAATATCGTTATTGGAAGTTCGTTATTGAGTTAATGAAGTTCATGCAAGTGCTGATGAAAGAATATTTGCCGCATAGTTTCAAATGTTGACTTAAATAAATTTATATTTTGCGTAAATGAACAGTAAAAAAAGGAAAAAGTCGTAATAACTCGTCCGAAAGTTCCAGTTTCATAAAGTCTTATTTCAATCAGAACTTGATGCACTGGCGTCAGTGGAAGCCTCCCTTTGGACTGATTAATACAGTAAGCGGCGTGTAAGTATTATTAAAGCATTGAGCATAATACCGTCATGATGGCTAAACTTCTTGCTAAACTTCTTAAAAAGAACTCTCTTGATATTACATTTCAAAAGACTCGGTGCATAGTTTTGGCCCAATGCCATGTTTCAGGGGGGACGCTCAAAGAACCTTACGCGAGGAAACATGTTTTGATATCGGTGAAGAATTCGGATAAATGAAAAGAGAGTAAACTTACCAAGGTATATGCAAGAAATCAGCCAAAGAACGGATATCATGGTCATCTCTACGGCTTTTGCATTTCTCATTTGCGTGCTTGAGGAATCTTTTGTTTTCGTCACATGATTTAGCCTTTGTAGCGCAGGTGGACCGGGAAGAGGAGCACCGCGGAACACTATGTTTATAAGTACGAGATCACCATAATTAGTCAGCGGTTATTACCTCCTTTTATCGGACAATTTGTTATTCAATATGTCGTGTGTTTTCCATAGTTAAAGCGGGGAAAATATCGATAACGCCACTCTGATGAAGCTTTTACCAGTAAATAAAATTACGGTTGACTGAAATCAAGGGATCGGTGAGACAATCTCCCAGCCGTGGACATTATGAGCCGTCCTTCCACTTGCCAGCACTTTTGAATCACACCTTCCAAATAATTTCTGGCTGCTAAGTAAGGCCGTTACTCTTGTCAGAAGAAACGCATGGGAGATCAAACAATTTTTCGCAATTTTTATTCTGCTCGCAAAAGAAAGCGAAAACATTATCAGCGTTGGGCTGATACCATAAGACCTGACAGTATAGTCTTCTGCGAATTAGCGTGTGCTCTGATGTTGAATCAGTAATTGATATTTACTGTTCAGGATCTTATATTGTTTTCTATCCTAGTATGCTACATTTTAAGTGTATGATATCACTCTCTCTACTTAGGGGAAGGGTGGGAAGGTGGTTAGAGTTGGTGGTATTATTGGTTCTGATGTAGTGCGTGAACGTCAGAGCCTGATATTTGTAGTTGCGTAAGTCTCGCGCGAAAACTTGGGGTCTTGTGTGCGATAAGTTTTGTTCTCAGTGTTATTTTCGGGATCCAATAAAGTAGTCTTTTTAAATCTTAAAGCATGTAATAGCATTTTCAATGTATGTTTTTTTGTGCCATGGATTTACTGTATTGTGGGAAATATTAATGCTGGAGCACGGGGTTTAATATGTTTTGTAGAGTTGTTTGAGGCCAATATTACTATCTCTTTCGAAACACATGAAAAAGCACAAGTTAGCGAGATGTTCTAGAAGGATGGAATGGCCTTGTGGAATTGGCCTTTTGTGGCTTGAGAAAATATTCTAAACTAAGCGCTATGCACTGCATGGTCGTGGGATACTATGCAGTCCTCTTGTCAGCACCAGAGGGTTGTTGCGTAAAAAATATCAACTATTAAATAGGTAAAATAACATTTGAAGTAACAAATGCCAGAGCGTGCGACAAATTTCATTGTTATGTGAGCAAAGTACGCAGGCTTTAACTGGTTTCCACGCCTGTAACCCCCTAAATTAGGAAAGAAAAAGTGATGTTGTAAAACAGGAAATAAATTTGGGAACAACGACAGAATGGGGCCAGGATTTTACGATACTTGTGATTGCGGGGAAAGTTCTTGCTACGCACGGTGAACTGTGCAAGGACAGAACTGCTTGAGAACTTTGGAGTGCTGAAATTGGGATCATCGAAAAAAAGCCTGGAAAACGTTGACAAAATGTCGTCCTTTTGTGATCCGTTGACCAGCAACTGCGGAGTCCGTAAAGATTCGGTGACTATGTCAGGAAAAATTCTGCAATCACGTTTGCAGAACATGAGTGTTATTGAAATAATCGGCGCAATTCAAATTCATCGGGCTGATTATTTAAACGAAGTTTAGCCGTTGTTTAACAACTTGGCGTTTGAGACTACCTTTAATTTAGCTGAATCTTTCATCTGATGATTCATATTCCTATCGGAGTGGAAAGCATGCTTGGACCTCATGCTTTCACGAGTCGCCATGTCGATCAAACATGTTATGTTACGTTGATTCATTGAGAGTTTCTTTTCTGATACTACAAGTGTCAAGAGGGCCAAAAGCAACCCTCTTATAGAGAATATGTACGTAAGACTCACTGCCTGCCAAAAACCACGGTTTAGGTTAGACTTCATGCAAATAACCGACCTATTTAGTTCCTCTGAGACCTTAGCGTAGCCATTTTCCTTTCCTATTCAAAACATCTACTTTATGAAACAATGATACAATGAGACACAAGTTTTGTGGACAAGATGTACGAGAAGTGTTACTGAACTGAACTAGATTTGATTTCACCTTTTGGACTGAATGAAATGATTCTCAAAGAAAAGTAATGTAACAATTATGCAAAGATCATCACAATAAAAACATTAAACTACCATTTATTAAAAATGAAACGGCTTTTCAAAATAATCTGTTTATAAGACGTGGTTAAAGGTATTGTTTGCAATGCTTAAAAAAGGAAACATACGAAAAATATTAATAACAACTGCATTAGGTTCTGTCTATAGCTACGAAGTTCAACAACAACTAAGAAAACTGCATCTTTTCATTCTAATACAGCAAAGCCATTAAAGTGCATGCGATAAGAGCAGCGGCGCTGACTTTCTGTAGTGTGGCGACGTTACACAGGTCACCGGAGCAACAATCCAGTTTACATTTTCCTTTGCCTTTACAGAAAGAGCTCAGGTCAGTATTGCATTCATCTTCAGTGAAACAGCCTTTGGTATATTCTTCAACGGATGCACCTTTAACTTTTACGTCTGCATATACTTTATAGCAGCGATCGTATTTGGCAGAACAATCCATTTCTGTTTTGATGTCGTTGCAGTCATCCCAGCTTTCGGTGCTCACACATTTGTAACACTTCAAGCCGTATCCTGAGGTAGAATAAGAAAAATGTTTTTAATTCATTGGCAGCTCTTCAGATCTAGTTTCAGTTATGAAATGTTATGCGAAATTGTTTCGAAAGTCATATTGAAATAGCTGCATGCTTTTCACTTTGATTCATACAGATTTTCAGATCCTATCAAGAGAAAACAATGGGATGCGTGATCCTGTGTTAAAGTTGAGATGAATCATCATAGAATTACCTCTTTAAAACAAAGGAGACTTCAAAGGAGAATTCAACTCTTCTTGATTTTACAAAAGTCCACGCTAAGATGTCAGAACTGTTATGGAAACTTTTAAATATTGATTTCACAAAATAGTTTATCAATGAAAACTTGTCTGTTGCATCAGACACTTTTGATCCTTGAATAAGGTAACTATGAAGTGGGTTGCAAGAATTTCATTTTCTATCAAACATTTGCCTCTTTCAGAGCTTGAGCTGTCTCTAAAACAACTCCACGAATTTATCTTACATATTTGACGTAGAAAGCGTGTAGACGTCAGTGTCTCACACGTGGGATTTTGTATTTTCGTTTTGAAACACTCACCTGTCTTATTTATCTCACGCGAAATATTTCTTAATGGCAGACGCCAATCTATTTCAAAAACCCTCAGCGTCTGTCATTATGAAATCTTTCGCGTCGGGGTAATGATCAATAGTTCTTTCGATAAAGCTCTCCAAACGGTTTACAAATTGCGGAAACCTCATGTTATATATTTTGAAAGACAATTTTCCGTTGTTACTCAACTGAAATATAGATATTCTCCGTCGTTACGAAACTGAAAGATAATTATTCTCCGTCGTTACACAACTGAAAGATAATTATTCTCCGTCGTTACACAACTGAAAGATAAATCTTCTCCGCCGTTACAAAACTGAAATATAACTATTCTCCGTCGTTACACAACTGAAATATAACTATTCTCCGTCGTTACACAACAGAAACATAATTATTCTCCGTCGTTACACAACTGAAAGATAATTATTGACAACATAGAGGCAGCACCACTCCTAATGAATGCAAAGGAGGATCGGCCAGGTTTAGTGAGCATTGCTGTTCCAATGGGTGTACAGGAAAATGCTTCTTTTATAGAAGATTTAGATTCCCTTCCCAACCGCAAAAATTTGTTTTCTGATGACAATGATTCTTGGAAGATGAAAGGTGCCGGGTCAAAGTTTTTCAGAGTACAAAAAGAGGGGGGCTAAGAAGTCAGCATAGAAAAAGTAGAAACAGAAGGAGAGGCTCAGGAGTCCATTAGAAGACTATCTTACATCTACAAATCCTGTCCCTCCTTCCAACGAACAATCGTTGCAATCGAGTATGGTAAAGAGATTGACAAATGGTTTCCGATTGTACTGCTAAACTACCGCTTCTAGGGCTCCCCGCAGACATTCAAACCAGATCAACACGGAAACCGAAAAGATTCTTCGTCTGTTCCGTATGTTCGAACGGAGCAAAGCACCAAATCAAAGCTGGCAAGTAACGTAGATGATGGAAAAACGGGTCCTAATCGCACCCTGTTCAATATCGTCCGAGACATCGGTGTTGTTTTCGACATGGACAACACTAGTGCCTTTCAGAGGAATGCCCGCCAAGCGCTGTACGAAAAACAGAAGTCGACAACATGCGTAAGCCGCACTGGTACAAAGAAGACGAAAGATGTACTTGCATCTGTGCTTGAGTTACAGAAACGGGCGTGCAAAGGATCTATTCATGATGCAATGACTTACTAACTATTGTCCTATTTAATGAGAAGCAAATCTATGACATCATCAAATTTTGTTGCCATCAGCAAACTGGATGGTGCCAGAACTTGACGCGGATATTTCATTTCAGCTGGGACCCTTTTTTTACTCGTTACAACTCGCAAGAACACTATTTTGAAAGTAAATGGTAGTAATCATAGCCCGAGCTTTCTTGGGCCCATAATGATCTGTATGACGAAAGAAGAGCACACGTGTCTTTCCTCCATGCATTCTCTTCTTCGCGAGGTTCCAGGTTTTAGCCATTATTTACATGCCTATGGAACCGACAACGAAGAAGCGCTCGTCGGTGCACCAGCGGCCGCTTTCCAGAACGCTCACGGTTTGTTGTGCTACATATATATTAAGAAGAATATTTCCGTCCGTAAACTTTATGATCAAAGATTGGGTGAATTTTCTGCTAAGTGAAATAGACAGGCTTATTATTTTCCCTTCAAGACCTGGTTCAGTAATTTCAAACTGAGGAAGAACTGACCTCGTTTGGACTATTAGATAAGTGGGCAGTTAAAGAGGAATTTAAAGATGGCCTCCCTTGGAAATTTCACCTGCAAATGACACCAGACGAAAGAAAAGTTGCACTGTCATCCCTTTGCAAGCTGTACCCCGATCCAGCTGCTTTTTCATAGATGCAAACGGTTTAAGTTCCAAACTGGTCATTCCCGAAGTGCATTGATTGAACCCCAAAACTCACAGACAGACCCTCCTTTACCATCAAAGAAGGACCTAAAACGCCTTAAAGGGATCTTTACAGACGAAGAGATAGTAAGTTTACCTGCAAAGTCTGCTGCGTTGGTACATGATGACGCCATACGAGATGATTTCCAATTTCTCGTCAATAGAAGAAGAACACAACCAAATACTACTCAATACACAGCGACGTGTCTTAAGAGTGGGAAGTGTTCATGCGAATATACTTTTACAGCCGTAACAATATCTGCTGCCACACTATAGCTGTAGCATGGAAAACGGGTACTTTGTCCAAAGTGTTAGAAACTTATATGGGTAGAAATACGTACAGCATGAGCACCTCCACAGTCTCGTCTTCAGTCGGAAAAAAGAAACCAGCAGCCGGTTTCAAACAGAAGAATATAACTGAGGACGTGGAAACACGACAAACTGGATATGATTACATAAGCATCAGTAACAGTTCAAGTGCATTTTCTGTCCAGTCAGTAAACCCCACTAAAGTTGTGATCAGGAAACCTGTTCGTCCAGAAGATCCTCCTCCGGTTTCCCCGTTGCTTATGAAGAACATAACCGGCAACATCCAAAAATGTCGGGCAGTACCAAACCTCTGTCCACCCGAGTGGAGGGGTTCTGGAGCGACGACGCTGAATTTTTACGATGCGTACTACTACTGGAACAAAGACTCCAAATCTTACCAGGTGTGGAGTGGTTTAAGGCACTACCACAAAAATCCAGTTTATGCACAGATGTTCAGGACTCTAAACAAGACTATTCCGTTGGGAGCCAACATCACACCTACGGATGGTATTTGCCAGATCGCTGCTCAGTGTTTTGGAACCACTCTTTCCTAATCCACTAATCCTGTTGGAAAAACAAATAAGCCTGGTATAAACTTTCTCTCTTATTAGCATGCATGTAGAAGGCCTATGCCGTCAGGTCACATTTAGTGATTTTTTTTCTATCTCAGTTGTATTTAGTTTAATATCTTGGGGTGATTTCCTAGCACCAAATGAGTTGTGTTCACTTCCTTACGTATTTCAACAGAGAAGAGAAATATGTAGGTGGACATTAGCAGTTAAATTTGAGTTTTTAAGAATAGCAATTGAACACCATTCCTTTACATTGCTATACGATAACACCCTTCTCGTTTGGTTTTTGTTATCGATACTATTAATTCACAGTATATAGCTGAATGACATATTGGGTTGTAGTGTCACAAGAGTTCATCTGTTACATTTAGAACACATAATAAAGGGAATTGTGTATTCCCTCCAAGGTAGTTTTTGAACAGCCTTCTGATTAAGTATAACAAAAGTAATTGACATTTTGAGGCTAGATATTTTTGTTTCGTGTTCCTGTTTTCAAATAAAAGGGAAATCCGATCATTTGCCAAAAGATTTGACTAGTGTTTTTCCAGGTGCTATTATGGACGCCGTGATTGCTTTGTGAAGAATGTGCCCATACTAATCATACTAATCATACCAGGTGTGCTAATACCATGTGCTCATACTAATGAGAAAATGGCATGGTGTAATGGCGGACGAAGAGAAGCTTTGGCGGTGCAAAATAAACACAGACACTGTGAATAATACGCCCAAAACGCATACGAAATTTGATTCATTTGATTCAGAACGGGTCGGTCCGCGAACCTTATGAGATATCTCTTTATGAGCGAACATTTATGACTGAATCTTTCATCGAGAGACATGCTATATCAACTGAGTTATCTGGTGTTAATCGAGAGAAGCATAGACGCAAATTTCATCGTGTATGCAGACGTGATCGTAAACCAAGCAGAATACCAATACGAAGTTTGAAAAAGTTAAGGAAAAAGAGCAGAGAGGTTAGAAAATTTGTCTATGAACGTATTCTCTCATGTATCCCTATGTCATCTACATCGTACTGTTATATAAATGCTAAAAAACTATTAAGTAAAAGGTCCAACATATGTCGACCTTAACAAAACAATAGTAGCTCCATATAGTCGAGGTAACGTGTTATTTTCTGGGCAGAATGCAGGACAACAATGTGTTGCAATTAGTTTGTGTTCTTTGATTTACAATAACACACAAGGGATCAGCTCTGCAAATGATCTTATACAAATTATGAATATTGGAAATCAGCTATGCTACGACAGACTGTGGGATATCTCGTGAAATTCTCAATAAAGTCGAGAAAGACCCTCAAAGAATAACAAAGATTCTTAGAACATAAACTGAGAAGCTCGACTGGAGTAGTATCAGCTTCCCTATGAAGCTGACTGATATGAGCAATTTTGAAAAACAGAATGAAAATATTGCATATATACAGCGAGGCTTAAATTTATCCATTGAGGATCAGCAAAGAGGAAAATAGGAAGCATGTCATAAACCTTCTTCTGTTAGTCGGTGCGCGGCCCGGCCAAAGACTATGATAAACAACATAAGCAGGCTACTATCGAGTCAAGGATAAGAAAGCAAAAGAGTTTTGAACCAGGTGTCTGTGTCACTTCTAAAGCAAAGAAAAGCTTGCACTCCATGAAGAGTATTGCTCAAGAAA